TGTATGCAGGCGTAATCGATTGAATAGAATTTTAATTCGGGTTTGAAGTTTCTTTTAGGTGCACGTTTTTTGGCAGAATCGATGCTACGTGAAGATCGTTTATATAAATTGTTATGTGGTTTTCTTTCTCCCAATTCGATACAGCTTCTGACAATTTTTCATAGCTTGTGAAAGTGCCACCGAGACGCAAAGTGTCTTCATCTGCCATCTTGAAACTTCAACAAGTGCGCACTACAGAAAAAAAAATATTTGCACATGCTCAATAGGACGTTTTCGTACTCACGAAGCATGCGGCGCCCTTCAAATAGATCGGCGTAAGCATAGCCTATGATTAATGCTTACGACTCGGCGTAAGCATAGACACTTCGTAAATTATATTACATTACAAAGATAAATTGCAAAGTATATTGACACTTTTCTTTATTAAATTTCAGATTCATATTCTTGGAATACAAATCTCCAATGAACGCAGCCAAAGCTGTCAAGAGCCTCAATGGATATAAGTTAGATAAACAGCATACGTTTGCTGTCAACTTGTTCACAGATTTTGAAAAGTAAGTGTAATATGTTATAGCCTGTCCCCATTGACTATGTCTATACAAATCATGTATGAATAAAATTATTGTTTAATTAGCGAATCATTTTGTTATTGATAACATTTTCTATATTGTATTTCTAGGTATGCACAATGTCCACCTTTACAAAACCTAGAAAAAAGACCATACCAAGACATGGTAAGACTCTTTTGCAACTCATATCACTCTGTGACAAGCTCCGTGGTTGTTATGCCAGCGAACATCAGAGGTCCTCTATAGCCTTCAAATACATTGCCCTAGCATCAAGTTTAATACCAGATCTAGCCTTGCAACCCTGGAATATATTATTTAAAGATAGGGTTTCTCTGGGCTGAAGCTACAACATTTTATTTGGTGCACCCCCTTGCCTTATTTCTGTATCATTATTATGCAGACTATAATTGACAACCCAAATAACGAAGTAGGAGTATTTAAACATCTGAGTATCACATCACAATGGCACGATGTGATGTTAAAATTGTACATTTTTATGTTAAGACTAATAAATCTAATCAAAATCACATTTACCTTTGTACATAAAATCAGGGTAATTTAAGATCGTGGCTTCAGGATCTTGATGCTAACGATAATTACAGTGTCATCCATGATGCGGGTGAGAAGACGAGCATTTACATGAATACAGCTGCGGAAGCTATCAAAATTGAGGAAAGAGCGGTAAGAAACAATAATCATAGGGAATAATTTCTTTAATTTATTGTAGCTCCATGGTTAAAGGTGCTTGCCTTCCAATCCCAGTTTCCTGGATTCAAATCATGTAACAGCACAGGATTTTTGTTCTCACAACTAAAGAAATATCTTCACTCCCTAAGCCTCGTAATGAGACTAATACCCGATTCACCCGTACAAAAATCTTACCAAATGTAACCAAAAGTAACATTTTACGGCACGTGTGAAAGTACCTCCATGTAATATCCTTGTAAAATCTTGGAACGTCTCGGTAATCTTTACCAGCCTCGCTGAGGCTGGTAAAGCTTCCGAGATATAGCATGGATGGATTTGCGCATGCACAGGAATTCCAACACAACAACAGTCTACTGTGTTTCGCAGGGTTCCTTTGAATTTTCTTCTTTCTGTAGCGATTCCGATCCACTAGAAATAGATAGGCCTAGTTTTTCTCAATGATGCATGAATTACCCTTGTTATCAATGTTAATTAGTAATGGTGGAAGAAGATTATACATAAATGAACGTCGGGATGGTGTTAGTAATAGTATTATCAAGAGTCGACAGAAACGTCGGAAGCTAGGCCTGGGCCTAGTAGTAGTACATTAGTACAGCAGTTGTTAAGGGTATTTGATTGCTTCAAATGTTTATTGTGATGGTGAGTTTAACAGCTGTCTCTTATACACATCTTGATTCTAATTCTCCAAATTTGTGTGCTAACTGAAAAAACATAAAACAAGTAAATTAAAATTGTGAAATAATTGATTACATATGTTATTCATTATGGTCTTGATGATTCTGTGTGAATACATACATAATATACATTTGATTTCAAAATCAAAGCAAAGTAATATTTATTTATCAAAAGATAAATGGTAACAATATAATGTTAGGAAATTTGGAAAATGAAGGCAATATAACGGGCAAAAATATTTTTATTATTATATCATTGCATTAGTACTGTATCTACTGTACATAACAATCAATATTAATGTCTTGTTTTATCAAATTATATTTTCATCTATTTATTGTAATACAATCAAAATAGCTATCTGCTATTTATTGCAAATTACATATTTGAATAAAAAATAAATAATAATAGCAATAATAACATAATACAGTAATAAATAACATGAAATAATGATTCCAACATATGTACTATGAATACTTCATAACTTTTTACTAAAAAAATATAAATTGTGTTAGTGCATCTTCTCTGAAGCACGACATCCATTTAGGTTAAATCAAGTCTGAAAACAACACATTACAAGTTCCAATATTAAGACAACCATCAGCTTTTATATTCCTCCTAGTTAACTTCTTGATTTGACCTACTTAAAGGAGCATTGTCAAAGCCTAAGAATTCTGTCAGACATATATTATTCCAACAAGTGCCTCCTCTTTTGAGTAAATGCCACATTAGACATGAGTTTTTTCGTTAAGCACAGCTCTTCGTTACGTACTGTGGTGTTTATTAAGAGATACAGTATGTTATACCTGTCTCTTATACACATCTAGATGTGTATAAGAGACAGATTATTATGTCATTACGCAATTTCTCTATCATAATATTGTTATCATGTCTGTAAGGTTCAGCCCTAAAGGAAAATAACGTATTGGTCAGGGTGCACAGGATTACGAACACATTTAATCAATAAAAAAAAAAAAAAAACAGTGAGTCAAATCAGTTATTAAACGGGTCTTATGCAACAAATTATTAATATATAGTTGGAAATGTTTCACCACAAAAAATTCCGGATTTTTAACTTATCATTTTAGGGGGTAATCGTAGGTCAAAAGGTCATTCGTGACAAAAAATGCACAAAAATGCCTCATTTTCATGGTGACCTTTGACCCTGTGGGCCAGTACGCTTGTTGTTAAAACTTGCACCATTAATTAATTTACATATGATGATCAGATGTTCCAAATATCAGCTTGGTGTCTTTATCCCTTTGTGTTTAAAAAGCGATTTGAAAAAGGGGTATATTTTTCAATTTGTGACAGTATCAGTGCGTAAATGTGATAAAATAAATTTTTGAATAACGATAATATTAAAAATAATCTGCCTAGACCCTTGAAACTTATAATTCTAAAACAACTTTATGTGCTTATTTCAGTTATGCAGTTCGTTAAGGGATAGAGTGTTTCATTAGTAAGATATGTCCCCCCAAAAATGGCCCAAGTGCAAGAATTGCGCAATAAAATTGTATTTACTGCATGTTGATTTCAAATGAGCCTAATATTATCCGTGTACTGTCTAGAGCCGTGAAACCTTTCATTCTAGTACAACTTTATGTGCTTATTTCAGTTATGCAGTTCGTTAAGGGATATAGTGTTTCATTAGTAAGATATGTCCCCCCAAAAATGGCCCAAGTGCAAGAATTGCGCAATGTATAAGAGACGTTGATTTCAAATGAGCATAATATTATCCGTGTACTGTCTAGAGCCGTGAAACCTTTCATTCTAGGACAACTTTTTGTGCTGATTTCAGTTATGCAGTCTGTTAAAGGGATAAATTGTTTAATTAGTAGGATATTATGCCCCAAAAATGGCCCAAGTGCAAGAATTGTGCAATAAAATTGTGTTACGATTGTTGATTTGAAATGAGCATAATATTATCTGTAAACGGTTTAGAGGCATGAAACCTTTCATTCTAAGACAACTTTTTGTGCTGATTGCAGTTATGCAGTTTGTTAAAGGGATGCATTGTTTAATTAGTAAGATATTTTGCCCCAAAAATGGCCCAAGCGCAAAATTGCACTATAACATTGTGCGACTATTTTGATATTTAAAATGTGTATAACATTAACAGTGTACAGTTCAGAACCATGTAACCTTATATTCTAGTACATATTTGTACACTTATTTAATTCATGCAGTTTGTTAAGGGATACAGTCTTTTATCTTACTAACTAATACAGTAGTTAGTAAGATAGTTTGCCCCAAAAATGGCCCAAGTGCAACAATCGAGCAATAACATCGTGTGACATTGAATTTAAATGAGCATAAATTTTACATTGTACTGTCTAGAGCCATGAAACTTTTACTTTCT